GTGTGTGTGTGTGTGTGTGTGTGTGTGTGTGTGTGTGTGTGTGTGTGTGTGTTACCTGCGCTAACAGCAGGTGGCTGCAGCTGGTATCCCGTCAGCTGACACCAGCCGACCGGGTACAGGTCAGGTGACTCACAGTCGACCCACTGGTCGTACTCGTCCTCCCAGCCATCAAAGTGTATCCGTAGCAGCCGGTGGACGATGCGGGTTACCGTGGCGACACACACTAGCCGGGGCTCCATGAGGTCGACGGCCTCCAGCTTCATGCCCGGGTGGAAGCCGTGGTTGGGGACGTCCTGGTGAAACAGACGGAGAAACTGAGAACAGGTTCTTTAAGAACATTCGGCGTCAGTGACGGTGTCACGACTCACACTGCTGAAGAGGCTGACCGGAGCGGCCACTGATTTACTTTCCCTCAGGTACTCGAACCATCGGAACGGCAGAGCGGAGTAACCTGAGAGCCAACATACAAGCCCACGTCATACACCTGTCCACAGTTGTACTCCTCTCCTGTAGGGGGCGCTGCCGTACCTCTGGGTGGAGTCAGCTCGATGTTGTTGATCTCACAGAAGCCGGAGGGGAAGATGGAGGGAGAGGTGCAGTGATAACAGAACCAGTCCGAACCGTCTGCTGCCTCAGAACCATCGATACCGATCATCAGGAACCCGTCAGCCAGGACCTGCAGGAGGAGGAGTTTAACACCTGTGGCGTTGTCATGGCGAAACAGAGCGAGCGGCTCGGTGACTCCTCACCTTCCTGACCGTGGCCACGCAGATGGCAGACAGGTTCAGAGGGTCGATGGCCTCCAGCTTCATCCCGTCCTCGAACCACGAGCCGCTCTGATCCACCTCCTTCACCTGAACACACACCAGACGTGCACAACACTCATTCTGGAGTACCTCGTGAGCGCCCCCTACATGTGAGAGTGGATGTTCCTGTTGCAGAAAGGAAGAACTTCTTTCTTTCTTTGCAAAGACGAAATAAAACGTGAAGTGAAACATCGTTGCTCGTCTCTCTCACCTTGGCGAACAACTTCCCCGGAGCGTCCACGTGACTGTCCAGCTTCTTCGTCACATCTGGAAACAAACACACAGATGCTGAAATGTGCTCAGTGACCTGCAGGGGGCTCCACGTGGAGCTACATCTGTGAGACTCGAAGAGAGTAAACAGGATGGACAGCAACACGTTGACGACATGATGGTTAGCTCAGATGTGGACACACTGGAAGAGATGAAGGAAAATGAAATAACGCCTTCGACCACCAGGTGTCACCAGAGCAGAAACATAAAAAGAGACCCGGTCATTTGTGGGATGAGATTCATGTTTCACATCATCCCTCCATCAAATGACTCTTTCAGTTTGGGTTCTTCTCCGGTTCAGTTTCAGCGGACGCCTGTGGCCGGATCACCGATCAGCTGACTCACCGGAGCGTTTGAAGCGGTGTCCGATGGATCGAGACCAGCCGATGCTGTGGATCAGAGGACTGTACATGTGACACCAGAAGTCGTCCGTCCCATCGTCACACTCCTCGTAGACCAGACGGAGACGACCGCCGATCACCTGCAACAGAAACACCAGTTTTACCACATCACTCAAACTCCTCTGGACACAAGTTCTGATCAGAGAAGACAAACTTCTCGGGACTCGTTCACAGCTTCACAGCTTCAGACTCTCAGCTCAGTCTGAAGCTGTGAACGTCCCTCAGACCAGAGGAGGAGTTCTGGGTCTGGATCAAACTGAACCTGGTTCTGTTGGTTCACAGTGAAAACCACAGACTGAAGACTGAACCAGTATCAGACTAAAGAGAAACAGCCTCAGGTGAGAGTCCCACCTGTTCAACCAGAGCGACCCGAGTCCGACACAGGTGAGTCTTATCCACCACCTCCAGCCTCATCTGCTTCTTAAAGGGAAACTTCATACTGTCCTGCACCTGAGACACCAAGAGACGATCGTTATAAACATGTGTTCAACATGTTCGTCCTTCAGTGGGTCTGTCTCTCTCTCTCTCTGTCTGTCTCTCTCT